AGAGCTCAACAATAAAAAGATGACATATTTAAAAAGAACTCTAGCAAGTGCCAATGCACCCCTTGGAAAAAAAAGTCTTTACATGAAATTTTAAAGCGGTTCTAAACCTTCTCCAATCCAAAATCTTTGCTATTTTTTGTGGAAGACATTTTTTACTAGAGACAAGTCACGATTTTTCTGTGATTTCAGCTGCTTATCCTATAGAACGTGGTTGCTGAGAAAATATTCCTTCCTTATAAAGCCAGTGAGCACGCTCAACTAGCAGTTGCAACAGATGTAATCTTTCAGTTGAATCGCCAAAATCAATTTAAAAAATTTACTGAACCAGGTGGAAAATTTTAATCTGAACTGTGACTGCATCCTGTCAGAAGCAGTCACTGTTTGACAGCACCGTTGTATATACGCAGCTGTGGGTACTATGGAGGATGTTTCATACAGAAGTACAGGCACATGTATACGTGGACCACAGCAGTATGCCCACTTCTATGGTGTCTCATATACAGTATGTGCTACGTTTGCAGGAACAAGTAAAATTTATCATTAACACAGAACTCCAGGCAAATTTTTTTCCCTGTGCCCACATTGCACGGGTTATCTGCTGGGTTTTTTTTAGGGTAGAGGACAGCTGAGAAATACCTACCTGACTCGCCAAACCTCCCCGAACAAGACCGGTCCCTTCGGCTCCAGAGCCCCCTCCCCTGCAGCCCAGTGGTCTTGAAAATGGAGTGTTTCTGATATCAGCACACTCCATAGACAGGAACAGTCCACTGCTAAACCGTGGGGGAATGTGGTTTTCCGCAGGATCAGGTGAGTATGAACTTTGTGCTCACCACTAGAAAAAACAAGTAGTTGACTCATGCAGTGGGGGCACTGCCTCACTGCATGGTGGAAAAAAAGTACCCAGAGTTGGGCTTTAAATGTGCTTTGTTATATCTGTCTGATAGATGCAAGAAAATACCTGTTGATCATGCCAAAAGTCAAGTGAGCCAATAACTTCCTTTAGAAAGAGAACAATGATGCCTGTGCTGCACTATTATTTTTCCCAGCTCTCAAAGTAGACTACAGAACCCCTTCCTCTTATATTATAGGGGTGAGGAGAGTGGGAGATGTTCTGCAATCTTAAAAATCCTGACTGACAACAATGTTCTTCCACAAATACAGCACCGTGAGTGTTGTCACTCTAGGACAGGACATGTGTTACTGGCAGGATCACCAGGTGAAAATAAAGAAAAAAACAGTCTGGAAGAAAAGAAAATGAATGCAGTCACCACATTGTAGGCCAGGTAAGCTGCAATATAGTATTTTTTTGTTCTTGGGTTTAGCTATACTTTAAATAATATGTAATCCCAACATTTTATATTCTTGATATGTGCCTGCTGTACCATGTACTTGTATGAAAAAGCATCTTAATCTCTTTGTATTGCTTCCTTTGCGTAAAATCCCTGGTGATCCTTCCAATCTCTCTGCTTCCCTATTAAAAACTGACCACTCTAAGCAGGAAAACACAGCGTGGTCAGTTTTCTAGCTATTCTGGGAACTTAGTCTGCTCTCCTCCAATGATCAGACTTGTCCTGACACCCCCTCCTATGCACAGCCATTTACTGGGAAGATCAGTGTACAGCTTTTTATCCTCTCCTAGCTCTTATGCAACTGAGAACATATGATCACTTATAAAAAAGGGAAAGAAAGGGCATTTGTAATGTTTTTTCTATATCTATACACAAATGTTTTGCTTTTCATTTCTATTTTAAACTGAATGGGGTGTTGCACAAGGTGTGGGTTTACAATCACTTTAGGTTGTCTATTTATCAATGATTTCACCCGAGATTCACTCATTTTCTAATAGCATTTTGTGTGAAAAATTAATTTTCAGTGAAAGCTGGGTGAATCTTGTGTGAAAACACTGATAAATACCTTAAGGCAGCCCATAGATGATTTTGATTTTCTTGCCTTTCACCATGGTTGGAAGGAAGAAGGAAAATTGCTCGATTTCCCCATCAACAGTCTGTGTTGACGGGAGCATGCCTCCTGCAGTACTATTGTGTTCTCCTGTGAGGGGTGGGGTGGGGTTCAGGGAGCCTTCCCAGCCAGCAGAACACAATGATTACTGCTAGTAGCTATAGATACGTGCAGTAATTGTATGCAAGAAAAGGCTGGTTGTACCCAAGTTGATTGATGGATCGACTTACAGTCCGCATGCCCACACATGGTTCGAAATTTGGTCGGTCCTTGCTGAACTGGATGAATTTCAATCCATGTATGGCCGGCTTAAGACTCTAGCCTAACATATCCATGGACTTTACATTAAACACGAGCAATATTTGCATTATTTTGATGCACTAGACTCACCTGTCATAATGCTGTTAGCTTGCACTACAGAAGTGATTTCTATACTTTATCCTACTCTCCAATTACATTTATTGGTCTGGCGTTCCTCTTCTGTCATTCAAACTAAGCTGAGAAAATTGGATTTTTGTGATGTCAGCAGGTGGTGATGTCAGGAAGGAAAATGCCAAGGGAACGATGGCTCTGCAGTTATATGTAGCTATGTATACAATAATTGCTCTTATGTGAAGTTTTCATTTAGATAGTCCAAGGTTACTCACTATGTACTCTTGAAAATGAAAAGATCATAGGGTCATAGACCATTACGTCTGTATTGCCATTGGCTCCACTTCCCATATATGTGATATATTCATTATAATGCGCCACGATTAGCTGCACTCTGCAGACAGTAATCCCTCTAATGACAGTAAATTGCTTTGTTCTGTAATACTGAAACCATGGATAATCTTCTATTACTAATACAACCAGAATAAATACGCTCTCTTCAATTTTAAGCAATGTAGAAATTCATTAAGAGCATTGAAGCTGCCTGATTACAGAAATACAATGCTTAAATATGCCGTAATTCCTCTTAATACGGCATGACAGATCCATGGATTGAAATGTGTTGATGAATCCCATTTTAACACGGATGGCTCAATACAAGACAATTGCTAGAGGAATGTATCAAAAGAACATAATCTGTATTGCCAGGACCTGCGGCTCTTAATTGCTGTGAAGCAGACAAGCTTAAAATATTGAATGTTATTACTGAACAAAACGTGAAAGGAATTAAAATAATTGTGATCAGTTTTGGTCTTGTTCAGAACTTCCCTGCATACAGTGCAGACCCTGAACAGGGAAAAAAAAAAAAAAAAAAGGTTTGAACCCCCCTCTTTCAACATTGGTCACAGTTGCCCTCAATATATGCCAAACACATAACAGAGCCTCCTTTAGTTATGAACCTATGCCACAGTTTTTATTTTTCCAAAATGTTGAAGTTCAGGGAACAAGGGACACAAGACATGATGTACTTTTACTGTAGTTAGAGCTCCACTCTGGGCAGCAGAAAAAAACGTTTCCTAGCAGCGGGGTTTCCCCAGGTAAATGATCATTAAGTCTAAGGGCAGAGGAACAAGGTGTAATGCTTCTTTTGGACTTGCAGTACTACCTACGCCCCTCTAAAAAGAGGTCTGTGGTGGATTGCTTTTCAGAGAGAGGTATAGCAGCAGCTGACAAGAAAGTTGGAGGCACTACTGCCACCTTTGGAATGCCTTTTTATTTTTACTTTCATTTTTAAATTGCCAAACGGCCATTTAACATGTGAGCTCGCAGTTGCAGTACAGTCCCACTGAACTCAAAAGGCAGGGTCTTAAAAAAAAAAAATAAATATATATATATACTGTAAATGTTCCAGCAGAAACTGGTCAAAAAGTACATAAATTACTTTGTAATTAGAGCTGTGAAAATGTGGAATAGACAAATATATATAAACTGGTGCAGTGCTTACCCTAAATGATATCTACTAATGCATAAATATAATAATCATTAATAATACGTGACTAATAATGTACACTGTGAATATTAGCGGGAAGTGAACTGATCCACTCAGGGATCTAAAGTGAAAACAAAAAGTGACTGAACATGGTATCCTATCAGGAAACAGTGAAACCAAAAAGTCCAAATGGGACTATAATGATGTGATATTCACAGTGTACATTATTAGTCACGTATTAATAATGACATGAATAGTGACATGGGCTTTGCTTGGCATCTCAGTGTTTTAAAAAAGCATGTCCAATGCCACATTTCGAAGCAAATGAGCCCTAATACCTGTTTTGGTGACAACTGTCAATGGTGGGAATTTCCTTCTCTGTGATGAGATTTTTCTCACACTGTCTCCCGGGCATAAATCCCCAGTGTGGACACAAAGAATAAAACCCAACAGATGTAACCCCATTTGAAACTAGCTTTGTCTTGTTGTTTCACTTTAATTATATTTCTTGATTTGAGTTTCTTGGCCTCCCAGTATAAAAAAAGGCCCTTACATTTCTGCAAATGACTATTTATATACGGCTTATTTTAAGAATATTTAATAGTATGTACAATTCACAGACTGTTAATTTTAACAACTACACAAGTGTATTAGAAACACAGCGGCTACTGATTAGATTAATGTTTGTCGAATCAATGTATGAGCATTGTTTTTTGTGTCCATATCAGACAATAAATATATATTGCTCAATGCAGGTGTTAATGAAGCAACAAATAATCCAATTTCAGCAGGCTATTGATGTAGAGCAAATTAAAACTACAGCAGAAAATTAAATCAACTAAAAGTGTTGTGAACTAAGGGGTGTTTCCATACAAAGTACAAATACATTTATACAATGGCAAAAAAAACCTGTAAAAATCTTCAAAACCTGGCATCACAAACATTAACACAAACCATACTGAATTATATATTTTGTTCTCAGGAAATGACACAATTTGTTTCAAGTTCATAAACACAGCTACATTAAAATGACAAACTCACATTGAAATGACCTAGAAAGTGTGTCTACAATAGCAGATATATTACAAAGGTCAAACAATTTAGGCCTTGTGCTTCACACGATATAAAGTTCTAAAAAAAAAAATAGTTTGGCTTCGATTTCTCAAATTGACTTGACTGTTCATTCGCTGCTATCATCTGACCAATCAAAATCACTGAAGCCGACAGCCATGTTGATCTTCTTTCCTTTCCTGACTGATGTGGTTTTGGAGGAGTTCTGCTTGGCTTGCATGTTTATTTGAATCCCAGAATGCAAGACGGGTCCCACAACGCCCATGTCGAACATATTCCCGAAGCCCTTCATCATGGCCTGCAGGCTTTTGTTCACGCCATCTACCTCCCCGTTACTGGTGGCTGTGATCTGACATGACATCTCAGCACTGTTTGACTCCTCTGTTTTAGATTCAAAGAAACACTTCTGAGAGAGCCTCGCAGGAACAGGAAAGTAAAGCTATTAAAAAGGAGGAAAGGACAGAGGCAAAAAAAAGGAAAGTTAGAATCAATTTAAATCAAAGAACCCATAAAAAAACTGGATTAGTTGGCAGTAAATGGAAAGTAAAATGATTAGTGATTTAAAACATAAGTTAAGTGGGACTTGATCAGAGCCAGCCATTCATTGTGTGTAATCTTTTTTTTTTTTTCCAGAGGTGATTTTGGAAAAGAAGAAAAGAAAGCTTTGAGATGATAGATAGATAGATAGATAGATAGATATAGCAGAAGTATAGAGTGTAAATAAAATGAAGAAAATTTAATCAAAGAGGTCTAGCTTCACTGAATGACCATTATTGTAAAAGATTTAATCAACACCCATCAGTCAATAATGGCCAAGATGTATCAATGTTCATGTGTCAAGTATTAACAGTTGAAGCATTCATAATTGCCAACTCCCTATCTGGGATGCTTAGGCTGATGTCACAGGGGTGATCTGACTACTAGCACCACATTGCCAGCAGCAGAATCACCCAGGAGAGGATTCCACTTACCTTTATAAAAACGCTCCATTGTTGGTCTGGAGCCAAGTCTCTTTCACTATTGCTGGTCCAGTTAGTGAGGAAGTGACTGCATTTAAATAGTGGTAAGTTAGGGATCCAGTCACTGGTGAGTTGGAGCCAGTGACAGAATTTCCATGTGACATCAGTCTAGGGTCAGAGTTAGGAAGGATTAGAACCCCTGCCTGTAAAATTACATTCCCTATTGTCTAGTGAAACACCAGGACAGTAAGTCAGGAAGAGCCCTGTATAGCATAAAAAACTTGATAAGAGTTCTAATCTTTCACAGCTCTAGCAAAAACTAAAAATGTTTTGGCTGGACATATACTTTAAGTGAGCAACGGAGACAACATCTTTAGAAAAACTAATAGGACATCAATGTAAAGACCTGCCCATGCACTGCTCCAAGTGTAAGAAGGAGAACTGTGTAATCCTGTAAAAGCAAAGTGACACCTACCAGTATGGATCCAAGGAAGGTTAGTATAAGCATGTTGGTGGATGGATTAGTAAAATACTCCAATACTTTACCCTAAATAGCCAGTGACTGTGTCTCTTTAAAGTGTACCCATACTAAAATGGTAACATTAAATTTGGTTAAATCTCTTACTGTGAGAGATAACTACAGACTAACAGAAGGTGTGGAATAAATGGCTTGTAGAAAATGTTGATTCAGGCTCCCTCTATTGCAGCTCCTATCACTAATTGTCTAAATATTTGGTCATGTGATCTATTCTAAAAGAAACGATCAGCCTATCTGATCTCTGATCCTCCATTTTCAAGCTTCTGGGTTCAGGAGCAGCACTGGACGCAACCAGAGTTTCATTTTCTTGGGGGAAGGCAGGTATTTCAGCCCTTCTTACCCAAATGGAAGAAAAATATATTTGAAATATATTTTAAAAATATTCTTTCCAAATATATTGCCATATATTTGAAATACTACAATTTTGGCCATATTCGATAGATAGATAGATAGATAGATAGATAGATAAATAGTTGAAATATATATTTTTAAAAATATATTTTTTTAACATATATTCTTCAGATATTTTTTAACATATAAAAAAGTAATTTTAACATATATGTTTTACATATATTTGTAAATGCATTTAAAAAAATGTAATTTGTATTTTTAAAGGCATACAGTATATTTGAAATGTATTTTTACAAATATTTTGCAATAAAAACATTTCAACATGCAATATATATATATATATATATATATATATATATATATATATATATTTATTTTTTTTTTTTTTTTTTAAATATATTGAATATGGCCAAAATTGTAGTATTTCAAATATATGGCAATATATTTGGGAAGAGTATTTTTAATATATTTCATATATATTTTTCTTCCATCTAGGCATGGTTTATTTATCCAACCAGCAAGCCTACTAACATCTGAATTAAGGGACCACTTTACTGGCAATGTAAACAGGTACGACAAATAACTTGCTGTATAATTTAAAACTTAGGAATAGCTGCTTGAATATGACATTCACTTGATGGCATTTCTTACAGGGGTTTCAACAATTGTATCCAATCCTAATTTGAAATTTTTAACTATTATAAGGTTCCAATTCACTTAGTATTCTAGTTTTCACGATTTTACTTAAAAGAGAAGTATGATCAAAGTTTGACCATATTGCTTTTTTGGGTCACAGGAGTGCACATAGTTTTGCACTCCTGTGACTCAATATCAGCCTTCTGTTGGCCGACATCACAGAGCCATTCCAGATTCTGGAACAATCCTGACAACATTGTCTGTATCCACCCAAATGTCTGCCATGTAGCTGGCTCAGCCTCTCCACATGGTGCTGACAGCCTGAGCCAGCTGCTCCCACTACCTTCACAGCCCAGTGCTCCAGTGCTGAAGGGGTAAAGAAGAGATCAGTGACTGACAGACACCACTCTCTGCTTAGAGCTGACCATGGACTGAGCAATCAGCAGGCATGTGATTGCTCAGTTCTTACACTTAGATCCAGCGGGGGACAGTTGATGCTGCAGCAGGGAGGTGAGTAAAGATGTTTGTTTTTTTTTAGCTTCCCATACTTTTCCTTTATTGATGTTCTTAGAAACCAATAGTTTCAAAAAGCCAGCAGGGACATTTCAAAAACTGACTGCTGGTGTGTAATTAAAAGTGAAGACAAAACATTTTTTGGTTTGGATGGTGTTGGGTAAGGGTTTGAACCCCTGCTAGGTTTTTATTGTTGTCCGAGTCCTAACTAGAGAGATTTAACCTCTCTTTTTGTCATGGTGACCATTTTTTATTGTGGCAGAAGGTGACAGTAAATCTAAATTATTCGAGGCAGGTGGGGGAAAAACTTTAAAGCCGAGACATCTGCTCCAGTGACAATTGTCTAAAATACGTTTTTCCATCAGATTGAAGAGATTTGCCCTCACTTCTTGTTGTGTTTCTAGGACAGGAAATCAAGAGAAATCTCCCCAACAGAGCACAGAAAATGAAAAGAAAAAAAAAAAAAAATCTGAGAATGATTTCAACCATTCTGTATTTAGGATTATATAAAAAAAATGATGAGCACACAAGAGTTATGCTTTGGTATTACTTGCAAGTTCTAAGTTCGTTATATGAACTTGGCTGTCACTTTAGCAGGGACCTAAGCCAGTCCAGAAAATCTGCTGTTTGTCCCCGCGCCCCTGTACAATTTGCTCACAATTACTTGCATTCCTAACTGCAGACTAGGTCAGTATCCCTCCATGATCATTTTATATGCCTTGATGAAGGGGGAGAGTTAAGCCCCCGAAAAATGTTGGCTTTTTTTTTTTTTGCAGAATATAATATTTTATAGACTGTACAATGTGATGTAATGCTTTCATCCTATCAACTCTTCAGTGAGTGACCTCCCCTGAAGGTCTGGCAGGATACCCTGGTTGTCGGAGAACAGCCTCCATGACTCCACACCACTCAATGTCATAGTAAATCACCATGAAGTTCAGCACTCCTATACCACAATAAATCACGAAAACCTAGTGGATGATTAGGTGGGCATATAATGGCTATATTTTTCTCCCTCCCATCCATCTCAGATTTGTGGGTGTTCATTTTGGGTGATCCGATCTCTCCCATTACAGTTTACATAATATAAAATTACAAGTACATAAACAGAAGACTGGATTACGCACAGTAATAGATATTACACATATATATATATATATATATATATATATATATATATATATGGGATATTCCTATGAATGCTGAGCTCTGCAGGCAACATTATCCAGGATAGATACACCTGGGTTACAATCCATTCAAGGGTGTCTGCACAGGATATAAAGAGGCATACTTGTGACTGTGATCATTATACAGCATCCTTTCTCAACCAGGGTTCCTTGAGGTTTCTTCAGGGATGCCTTGGCAAAATGTCTAAAAATTGACCAAAACTTGTATACAAGCCAGCGGGTGGAACAAGCCTGACTTTTAGTTACACGGTCGCAGGTTTTCATTGCGCACCATTTATGACCTTCTAGCCACCGGTGTCCTGACAACCAATGGCATCATCAGTTGATACGAGGATGTCAGCTGCCTGCACAGCATCCTAGTTTGACCCTCCCCATCAATGCTGGGGCCACATTAGGTCAGTGATGAAAAACTGAGGGGGAAGAGAATCATTGGAATACTAGTCAGTACCAGTATGCAAAAGTGTGTTGGATCTGGAAGAATAAATCGCCTAACGCTGGGTGTCCTACATGTGTGGATGTTGCTGCGTTATATAAAACTATTAGAATAGTTTTTCACATTTTAGAATGGGGTGCCCTTTTAAGATTCAGGATAGTCTCGAAGCACCCTTTAAAATTATGGACAGTCTTGAGGCACCCCATTCTAAATGTCACCTATAAACTGTACAACTCAACTGAAAAACAAATTGAAATATTTTAGGGGGGGGGGGGGAAGAGTAAACATAAAAAACTAAAATAATGTGGTTGCATAAGTGTGCACACCCCCTTCATTGAAAGTGCCTCTAATTAACCCCCAAATAAAATTCAGCTGTTCTAGTAGGTCTTTTCTGACATTTTCTTAGTTGCATCCTACAGCAAAAGCCATGGTCCGCAGAGAGCATCCAAAGCATCAGAGGGATTTCATTGTTAAAAGGTATCAGTCAGGAGAAGGGTACAAAAGAATTTCCAAAGCATTAGATATAAAATGGAACACAGTGGAGACAGTCATCATTAAGTGGAAAAAATATAGCACAACAGTGACATTACCAAGAACTGGACGTCCCTCCAAAATTGATGAAAAGATGGGAAGAAAACTGGTCTGGGAGGCTGCCAAGAGGCCTACAGCAACATTAAAGGAGCTACAGGAATATCGGGCAAGTACTAGCTGTGTGGTACATGTGACAACAATCTCCCGTATTCTTCATATGTCTGTGCTATGGGGTAGAGTGGCAAGACAGAAGCCTTTTCTTATGAAGAAAAACATCCAAACCTGGGTACA